CAAGACAGAAGAGGGAGAACTTCATTGTCCATCTGTCCAAGACAGAAGAGGGAGAACTTCATTGTCCATCTGTCCAAGACAGAAGAGGGAGAATTTCATTGTCCATCTGTCCAAGACAGAAGAGGGAGAACTTTATTGTCCATCTGTCCAAGACAGAAGAGGGAGAACTTCATTGTCCATCTGTCCAAGACAGAAGAGGGAGAACTTCATTGTCCATCTGTCCAAGACAGAAGAGTGAGAACTTCATTGTCCATCTGTCCAAGACAGAAGAGGGAGAATTTCATTGTCCATCTGTCCAAGACAGAAGAGGGAGTATTTCATTGTCCATCTGTCCAAGACAGAAGAGGGAGAACTTCATTGTCCATCTGTCCAAGACAGAAGAGGGAGAACTTCATTGTCCATCTGTCCAAGACAGAAGAGGGAGAACTTCATTGTCCATCTGTCCAAGACAGAAGAAGGAGAACTTCATTGTCCATCTGTCCAAGACAGAAGAGGGAGAATTTCATTGTCCATCTGTCCAAGACAGAAGAGGGAGAACTTCATTGTCCATCTGTCCAAGACAGAAGAGGGAGAACTTCATTGTCCATCTGTCCAAGACAGAAGAGGGAGAATTTCATTGTCCATCTGTCCAAGACAGAAGAGGGAGTATTTCATTGTCCATCTGTCCAAGACAGAAGAGGGAGAACTTCATTGTCCATCTGTCCAAGACAGAAGAGGGAGAACTTCATTGTCCATCTGTCCAAGACAGAAGAGGGAGAACTTCATTGTCCATCTGTCCAAGACAGAAGAAGGAGAACTTCATTGTCCATCTGTCCAAGACAGAAGAGGGAGAATTTCATTGTCCATCTGTCCAAGACAGAAGAGGGAGAACTTCATTGTCCATCTGTCCAAGACAGAAGAGTGAGAACTTCATTGTCCATCTGTCCAAGACAGAAGAGGGAGAACTTCATTGTCCATGGGAAACAAATCACGCAAGAACTCAAGTGTCAGTTTTATGAAATCAGAAAGGCCTTCTTCAAGTTTTGCAAACGTTTATTCTGAGCTTTACAACTCAAATAAATTAAGGATTTAGCTACGAGGTGCTGAGGTGCTAAGAATTGAGATTTAATTCCTGAACTCTTTTTTTTTTTTTTTGGTGTTGCTGTTGTTATAAAAGAAAGAGGAGGCAAATTTGTGGCAGCCATTATTTTAATTGTTTAATATATAAAAATGAGCCCTAGTAAATGTACTCATTGTACAAGCAAACAACCAAAATCATCCTAAAATCATACCAAAATCATCCCAGTCTTCTCTTTTTGTTCTGATGATCTCTCCTTAGAAATAACTTAAAAGTGAAAAGAAAACAATGACAACATGTTAAGGTGGCAGCAGATGTTTTAGGTCAAACCAAGAGGCTGAGTTTAGATGCCTAAGGATGGTTGAGTTTGTTTTAATTTTTTTTGAACCATGTTTTTTTTCAGGAATCACAGTAGTAGCAACAAAATTTGACATGAAAATTTACAGTACAGCAGTAAAAACATCACTAAAAGATCATCCATATTTTTTTTTTAAACATTGTTATTGTTGTATTTTTGCAATTCACCCTCACACACAGATTGATTGTACAGCTGATTACAACATTATGGAGATGGCAACAAAAAGCATTAAGAAGATGATTTATAAATAATGGTAACAACAACAAGGACTGCACTAAAATGAAATGCAACATTCTGTTTGTGTACAAAGTAATTGATAAAATACAAAATGTTAATTTTTTTTTTTTTAATAGGATATTTTTTAACTGTTAGTATTCTACGACAAACTCTTCCCATCAGAGTCAAAACCTAAAGTAGATGATGAGTTGGAAAGTTCAAGCACAAAGCTGCTGGTTACAAGTAGTGGTAACTAGAGCAGCTAGCTCCTCCAGTGTAAAGAAATTACAAATGCACTCTGACAATCATAGCATGATAAATAATATTTACAATTCAATCACCATATTCTGCAGCTTATTCGACGCTTTGATGCACTGACGACCCCAAAAATTTTGAAAAAAGAAATCAGAAGAGACAAAAAATGTTTCCCAGTACTTCGTAGCCTTACCCCACTGTCCTCAATTTTACCCCCTGAACACGGTACCATATTTCAGCATGAAACCCTGACCATTCATTGACAAATTCCTGTTAACCCAGAATAACTATTTAATTCTGACTTGTTCTATTTAGTATCAAGGGCTCAGAATGGGATGTAGTTTTCAAGCTGAAGCTCACCTTGCGCCCCAAACCATAACTCTTGTGCTCCCCAAACCATAACTCTTGTGCTCCCCAAACCCCAACTCTTGTCACCAGCCTTTCATTTATAGGATGCAGGATGGCTTTTGGGGAGACAATTGAAATGGGGGAAAAAAAATGTCTCTTTTTAAGCCACGGAAGCACTACTTTTTAAAAACTATTTATTTATATTATCATAGACGTTTTATAGCTCCATACTAGGCTGTCAACACATGTCCATCCACCTCAAAGTTTGATTGATGAGGTCAAGTTAAAAAAGACAACCCTTTTTGATGTCCTGAAACATTTATTTCCCCTTACGTGATTAAAAAAAATGACCTTCATTCAAGAGGTAGCAAATTGGATTTAAATACTGGAATTTACAAGTCAAGACAACCTCATACATCATGTTCCTTAACCGTTGGAAGACATTAGAATGTCCAGTCCTCTTGCATTGATACTTCGCTCATTTTTCTTGTAAAATCCTCATCCTCAACTGAAAGATCTGTCAGTGAAATAAGGGAGGTTTTATTTTATTATCCTTTTTATAATCAGTACATAAATATTTCTAATGATCTCTATAGGTAATAAGCATTTTAAGTAGTTGCCTAACTAGGGTTAGCATTGCATGGGGGTGGCCATGATATTTACCCCACTCCCCAAAAAACAAAAACTGTGACATAGGTCAAAAACTCTCCCTTCCCCCCCCCCCCCCCCCCCCACAAAATTCCCTTTTCCCCCCCCCCCCCCAAAAAATTTTTTTTTTTTTTTTTAAATTTAAATAAATTTTTTTTTAAATGCTCCTTCATGACAGACCACTCCCTCCACCAAAGATTTTATGCTTATAAATAGACCAACATTTATCTGGAACTACAAACGCTTTTCTGTGGTAGAATGTTTGCATTGTAATGTAGCTATTGTTCAGGACATATACAAAATCAATTCAGCTATCAATTATAGAACTATAACATGATCTCTAAGTTGTGAGTGTCTAAGAACCTCACATTTATCAGTTAACCTCTGTCCCCCATGCTCAAAATGACTTTCTTACCTCTGGGTGCTTTGGCAATGTCAGTAAGTGGGGTGACTGGTTGCAACAAGGAGGGCAGGGAAGTTGAATACCTGCCCTTGATGCTCTTGAACAACTGATGACACAGGAGCTGTGGGGCTGATGGTCTGTACATAAATCAAAACAAAAAGTGGGCAATAAAAGCTGATTTGGGTGGTTCGCGTGGAAGGAAGAAAATTGATGAAAGTTTATAATTTTAAGCCACTAATTGATGAAGCTTACAATACTAGAAATAATTAAATAATTTATAATCACCATGGAAAGATGGATATTTAATTCACAGTTAACATAAGCTGAATCATTATTCTTAAATGAAAAGTTAAGTAACTACATATTGCTCACCATCTAAGAATATGAGATTTGAGATTTTTTTTAAATGTATTACCTGCTAAATGGATCCCGCTCAAGGCAAACAGAAGCAAAATCATGTAAATGAGTGGAAAATGTTCTTTTGAAAAATATGGCATCAGCCCTTTCTTGGGTAGTGCCTGATTGGTCCTCAACTCCATCTGAAACATTGACACAAATAAATTTTTCTGAATCTGCACCACTTTATGACAAATCATTTGTTCATCATTATTATGAGCTTTGAAAATTATTTAACTCAACAATGGTAGATAATCTTATTTCAATAGAATCTGGATGGGAATTCAATGCTGAACGCTTGTTCTTACCATCATCAATGACAAACTCCCCAACTGTAGAAGAATCAGCTAATCTTGGTTTGGTCCCGCTTAGCTTTTCTAATAGCATCTTCAAAAGTTCAAAATTCATTTTGTTAAAATTATTGTTCATTTTTTTTGTTTGGAATTATCAATGTCTTTACCTTTTTCTTTTTTTTTTCTATTATCTGTTACTCATTAAAAACATCAAAAACAAAATCATTAGTACTTAATTTGTAAGGAAAAAATATAAAAATATGGGTGAAACTAAAATTGTTTCCAAATTCAAATTTAACAATAAACAAGAAAGTAAAGTCCAATTTAAAGCTTGTTTGATTTTAAATATGACTGATTGCCATGCTGTGCTTATGGACCATCATAAGCTTTTTTTCAGACTTAGAGAGTAAGACTACATTAATGGCTAATACTGTATAACAGGCATGTAGCCAAAATAAGACTTAGTATTGATAACTGAATTTAGAAGATAGCTAGAATTTAAAAATAAGGATCTTACAAGATTCTTTGTAAAGAAATAGGAACCATTTTGTTGGAATACTTATTTACCTGAGTAACAGGCATGTCTGAGAATGGAGATTGTCCATTGGCCAGCTCACATGTCAAGATTCCTAGACTATAAATATCTGACTTGCAATTATAACCAGCCAAATTCTGATGGAAAAATAAAATGTAGTAGGTAAAAGTTTTTTTTTTAAAACTAACTAATGAGAAGAGGAAGCCCCAATTTATAGAAACTAAGACTAAACAAAAGAAAACTTAACATGCTAATGCTGTGTTGACATCTACAGCAGGAATGAAATAAAAAAAAATAAATCATAATGCAGTGTGTTAAATTCATCTACAATATAATTTAAAGATAGATCAAACTATTTCTTAAAATGTATGTCACAGCAGCTATGGTTTTAAATTTTACTTAGTTGATTTTAAACTTGAGTAAAAATTACATTTATAAAAGAACTTTAGTTCATAATTCAACAAAAATATGTTAAAAAATAAATACCATGGATGGAATATGAGCTAAAACTTTCATAGTTATCTGTTTACTAACAAAACTGGTTAAATTGTATGTACCTGCTGTAACAATTCAGGACTGTAACAATGAAGACAGTCAATAGTGTGCATGGGGAAGTCATGGACTTTCCTCAGTCTCTTCCCATTTTGTATTGTGTTAAAAGAATTGTGTAAACCAGATAAGCATACGAGGCCGTGCTTTGATATCATCACATGGCTGGCTTTAACACCCCTAGGATGAATGAAAAATATATCAGGAACCGGTAGCTTGTATAATGGCGAATCTATAACAGTTTAGGCTAAGTACATCAGCCAAATCATCCTATAGTAGAGAAACTATCTTGACAATAGGGACGATAAAGATATTTCAATAGTGTGCATCTCTTGATGGGCTTCTTAAATGATTGTACACAGGTCATCTTTCTAGAGTACATGTTATCAAATCATTATTTTGTTTGTAAGAAACAAAGCATAATAATATTCATCTTTTCTCAATTTTGTGTGTTTTTAATGCAAATTCTTCCTCTGCATTTGTCTTTTGTTAACTATTTACACTTTTATGTTTCAATATGTTTATTTTAATATCTCTTTCAATTAAAAACAAAACTTTTAAGGTCTGTTTGGACTTAAAGGAGTTTGTATTTTGAAGAAATGAGGTTACAATTTCTGAGTTAAATATGACCCATGCTTACCTGTGAATTATGCCTCTTTGGTGCAAATATTCTAAGGCTAGAAGGACATCACGTAAAATAAAAACAATTGCCTGTTCCGGTAATCCTGAGTTAAAATAAGCATGCATCAGATCTCTGCATGAACCTGTACATAAAAAAAACCAAATGTTAATTAACATCTTTTTTTCTTATAGTGTGAACATTTTTTTAAATGTTGGAATGTAGGAGACAGTAACCACTTTTTTGGATGGGGAAAGTTGCCTGAAACCCACGAGATTATATAAAATGTTTATTTATTTAATTACATAATATAAAAAAACATAAAGAAAGATAAAATTAATCGATTGTCTAGAATTTTCTAGCAATATGTATTCTGCAAACACATAAATAAATAGATTATAATTTTCTTTTTTTTTTTTTTTTTATTTGAATATTAATTAATTAACTTTCATAAAGTAATTGTTTTAATATATTTTTTTTTTTTTTTTTTTTTGTATTTGACTATTAATTAATTAACTTTCATAAAGTAATTGTTTTAATGTTAATACATTAAAAAAAAATAAAATGGAAGAAACACCTAAATTATGGATGTATCAAATATAAAAAACCTTACCAAATGCCATTAACGGCATAATGGCCCAGAGCTCTTGTCCATTTATAAAGCTGCAGTATATGGGCAGCAAGTTTGCATGGGAGAGCTGCTGCGTTGTGATTATTTCATCCTATTGAAGGGTATAGAAAAAAGATATTTAGAAAAAATTATTTTTTTAAATATATATCTAAGGCCCTTATAGTTGTTTCAAACTTAACTTTATATTACAAGGAATTTAGTCAAGTTTATATTAAACCATCCTTGCTAAACACGTTGCAAGTTGCCAGTATTTTCCTACTTTAAACCTGCGCAATCCACCACCTCTATGAGATCTCAGTTCTTAGTTCAAAACGATAATGTAAGGTTTCTCCTTTTTGTCATAATTAGCCCTCTGAATCTTTGGCTCCTGGTCCTAAAATACCCATGCTCCTTGGCTCTGGTCCTAAAATAGCCATGCCCCTGGGCTCCTGGGGAAAATCTTCACAAACTGACACACAGGCAGATAAAATCATAAGATTATAAAATTAAATAAATTTTATTAATTTCAATCTTAGTCTGTTAGTAGTCCATAACTATAACAAAATATACCACAGGGTACAGAATATTGTCTGAGAATTGGTGTAGAATAGCATAGTAGGAGGCCATTTTTTTTTTAAAAACATGGCTAGGACTTTGACTTGTTTTTTTTATTTTATTTCAAAAGCACACATTAGTAGCACTAGCAGTTGAAATCAATGGATCGTCACTATCATTGTCTATTTGCTTTATTACAATCCTTTTTCAAAACACTTTGAATCATTTGCATTATCATTTTAGTAGTAACTTAGATGTGCGTTTTTGTTTAGTACTAAAAACCAAAACGACATGCAATAAACTACCTGTAAATATGATAGTTCTCTGTCCCAGATTTCAATGTTTATTCTTTTCACTGCAATCAGTGAATCTGTGGGTGTGTGCTTGGCTAAAGAGATAGTTGATGTGTTGGCGTGTCCTTTACCTGATGAGGAAAAAATGTGTGCATATAATGCAAAATATATATATTGCATACATATTGCATTTTGTAAGGATAGAAAAATTACTTTTAACTTAAATTATATATTTTAAGGATGTGAGAATTGTTTCCTTAAATTATAATAATTATAACTTGATATTACATAGTTCCTTCACTTTGCAATAGATTTAACATGTCATTCTTGATGGTATTTTTTTTTTTATTTATTATTATTTTAAACCAACAATGAACCAATTCCTTTAAACATTCTTAATAATCTTAAATCTACCTATAACAGCATAGAGTTCATAATGGAGGCTCTCTGGCTGGTATATGATAAAGCGTTGTGCGTTCATTTCTTTAGCTGCCAATGATGCTTCTTTAGTGCCTCCTTTACCAAGCTGAAATTACAATAGTAAAAATAGAAATTCTATAGGAATTTATTTTTAACAGAATTTCATCAAAACAAAAAGCAAAGTCAAAAGAACCAGAAAAAAAAATAACTTCAACAGAATTGTATTTTACCTTCAGTCAAATTAATTTACTTCACTGCTTTTGTACTTCATGATTAATTAAAAACAGCAATGGATTTTCATCTTGGTTCCACTTATAATTTTTTTCTGAAAAGTATATAAAGACATTTCAAAAATAGCGGGAAAAAAACAACCTGACTGATGCTATCTTTCTTGTTCTTTTTATCCAAAGGTATAGTATCAGATCTTATCTCTGTTATCTTATTTTCCTTTGATGAACAAGCACAGTTCTGAAACATGCAAAACAAAAAAAAAAACAATCCTATTGACTGTAAATCTTCCTAGCTTAAAAGCAACTAATTTTTTTGAAATGTTCCTTCTGACACTTGCAGTTTATGAAGGAAATAAAAAAAATGAACCCTACAAAATTTCAGATTATTATTTATAGCAATGTTAATGCAACTGTTTATACATCTAGCTGCTTTCGTTGACTCACTGCTCCCTTGGGAGAATTTCCTTTTTGTTTAAGGAGGAATCTGACTTTGTGACTAAGAAGATAAGCATGGACTTCCGAACTCTGGATATGAGTTTAAAAATTATATATGTAACAGACCCCATGTAGAAGCTATTGAAAGTGATGCAGGAGAAAAAATTTTCCTTTTGTTGAAAGTTCATCTGAATCAGACTATGAAAATAATGCTAGTGCTACAGAGGATCATTATATAGGCAGTGAACTTGTGAAACTGGACTGATGATATATTAATAGTATAACCATTATTTTTATCTTGCATATTTCATTTTCCTTATTTTTAAACTTAAAAGAAATAAAACAATAATAAATTTCCATCATTATACTGGTTTTTTTTTTTAACATATCATTTTTCAATTAAGTTATGCCCCTTTGCTTATGCAGAGAGGAGGGTAATTTTTCATGATCATGAAGTTATTTTGTGTTTACTTTTTCAGATAAAATATAAATTTAAAAAAATCCAGGTTTTTATTTATTGAAATGGTAATGAAATAATTACTTACAAAGAGAGACATTGGTCTCCTATGGCTTTTATATCTTTTTGCTGCTTTCAAAGCATATTTCTTTAGATGACTATGGATGAAGATAAGCTCTTCAAGTAACTGTTTTCTGCAAAATTTAAACATTTTATTAAAAAAAGAAAGCTAAAATATAACAAAATATAGTAAGGTTAAATTTGACTGAAAGCAATTAGTAAAAGCAACCCATGCCACACACCACCCCGCCCCCTTTTTCCCCCAACTCAGGCTCATGGCAATGTATCTGCAGTGATCATTACACGTAAGTGCATTAAGACCATTAAGTGCAGGCCTTTTACCTACTTCTGTGCACTACCCAGAGTACAGTAAAATTGCTTTTCCTGATAGTTGGGTGAGTTCATGACAAAACTAGTATAATGTCAGGAAAAGGTTAGGATAACACTAGTTTACAGATGCTATAATGATTTGAGATGTATACTGTCCTTAGTACTAACAATAACATCTATAAACTTTATAGAAGAGAGCATTACAGATCAGACCCAGCTACTTCACACCAAAGAATGCAATCAATACAAATGATTACAAATAATAGTATAATCAGTATAACACAGGGTACGGGGTAGTATTAAATTGTAACATAATATAACCATTCCAACCCAAGGCCTTGGAGGAATTCATGCTCTGCAAAATTTAAACCTTTTTTCTTGTAAAATTACTGAAGTCAAACATATTTGAAATGTATGTTAATGTAGGTGTAGCCAGAAAAGTGAGCCATGAACCAAAATTTGTGCATCTGTTCTATAATTTATTTTTAGCCAAGGCATGAACTTAAATACTAAATTAATATGATTTTCAAACCTAAAAATTAGCCTAAATTGCTAAATACTAAGAGTCTTAGTAAGACATGAACGCTAAAGAGAAAATACTAGTGAATACTAAATATATATATATGGCATCCTTCCGTCTTTGCAAGAATATTGAATAGCTATGGCTCAAAAGGCCAATCCTGGAATGGCAATCTCGACTGCATTTCTCGAGGAGAATTTTGACTCCTGGTTTGATTTGGTCTTCTGTATTGTTCTTTTTGTTGCAAGGGCTTAGTTTCACAGATCTTCTGCCTTTTTGACTCCTTCATACACTGCTGTTGGCTAACTAGAACGTTTTTCAGCAATGGTCTCCCATTTGTTAATTTCAATGTTGGCTTGCCTCACGCTCCTTTTGCAAACATCCATAAATCTCAGGCTTGGCCATCCAATAATTCTTGTCCCTTCTGCCAACTCTCCATACAGCAGCTTCTTTGGAATATAGAATTTTCTTCATTCTCCTTGCATGGCCTAACCAGTGAAGGCGCCTCTTGCTAAGAGCGGAGAATATGTAACACATTTGATTTTCAAACACATGCGTGTACATACATTCCAAGACCTCTGTGTTAGGCAAATTGTCCTGCTATCGAATGCATAAAATGTGACAGACATCTTTGATGGAAGCTGTTGAGCTTCCACTCATGACCCGTATATGTGGTCCATACTTCACTGCCATAAGCGTACTAAGCGCACATCCCTGATACACTTAGTTTTGTTTTATCAGTTAAATTGAGATTATTCCACACCCGCTTATTCAGTTTAGCTATAGTTGCTGCTGCTTTTGCAATCCAGATGTTTACCTCTTCATCAATGGGGAGAGAACTAGACATATTGGATACAAGTTATATAAAATGCTCAACAACCTTCAGATTATTTTTTATGGCCCTCAATAGATATGATTGAAGGGGACGGTGCTTTTTGTATCATGACTTTTGTTTTTTTGTAGACTAATTGACAGTCCAAACTCTTTACAGGCGTGTGACAGACGAATAACTATTCACTGAAAACCTTCTGTGTGCAATATTAAGGCAGCATTATCAGTCATCAGCAAACAGTAGTTCACGAATTAGCATCTTTTTTCCTAAATAATAATAATAATTAATAGCATTCATTATTATTATTATTCATATTAATAGGGAATACTAGGACTAGGACTAGGCCGCAGGCCTATTTACAATTAAAATACTTCCTAGGCCTAGGCGCCCTATCCCTAAGCCTGACTACACTCAGGATTCTACTTATAATACTACCACTACTGAACTGACTAACCAATAAGCCTGATAATAACTAAACTCACTTAATAGTACTGAACTAGTAGTTAAGTAAAGTAAAGTAGTATGAATGTTCGTCTTGTCGTCTCTTGTCTTGCGTATTTCAGTTTCGGATAATGTCCACTCATAACCGAACAAGTACCCTATCCCTATTTTAATTTATACATATACATATATTCTTTAGCCATTATAAATTTACGGTTATTTTGTCAACTAAAGATAGTGAAAAAATTAAATAGGCCTACTTAGCTAGTCTAACTACCTGATTTTATCTTTGAGGATTGTTGGTTGTAAATAGTGAGAACGGATATAAAACTTTGTTTCCTCCCCTTAAAATCTTGACTCCGTTTAAAAAGATTCAAATAAAAGAGCCCTCGACACTGACAGTAGTAAATGAAGTGCACATCATTTAGTTAATCAAGAGTGTCTCATCTCATTTTTAATTATAATATTAATAATATATAATACTACAACGACGACAGACTACTTTCTTCGTTATCTAAAATTAGACTAAACCAAAAAGTTTGTTAAGACTAAGACAGTATTATTAATTAATTAAGTTCAATTAGGCCAGTCCCAGGCCAAAACTTTTTATTAACTAATTGATTGAAAACATTTGGTTCACCGTCCTTTAATCCAAAGTTTTCTTTTTCAATTTGAAAATTTTAAAGAAGTTATAGTAACTAATTTTTTTCATACATTTATATTTATTTTTAAATTAAATTTCATCATTTTTGTAAAATTATCTCATTGAATTTTTATTTCTCGAAGATTATTGTTTTAATCAGTACTTAGTCAACCCACATTGCGTTTTCCGGTTTCTGACTTGCATTACTCAACACAATAACGTATTTTACTTGTTACAGCCTTTTAGAATTAGCCCTATAGAATTTCTTTTAAAAATAAAGATATAACTGAAATGTCAGACCCCGTAAAACCAGATCTTGGTCTTCTTGAAGAAGACGACGAATTTGAAGAGTTTCCAGCAGAAGGTTAGTGAGATAAAGTCAGTATAAAAATTATTTGAAACGAGTCAACAACAAAAAACGTCTTTTTTCTTTATTTACACCTGAACGCGACACAAAAAGAGCGATTATTTTTTTAACGAGCTGAGAATTAAAAAAGACTGCCATCCATATTAATATCGGAAACTTCCTGAGGGGGGGTGGGATATTTACTTTGAGTTAGACTTAGTTAGGCTTTAACTTAATTTTAATTAGTTATCCTGAAATTCTGACAGATTATGGGTTAATTTAGACAATCCACGCCATGAATGACATATGTCTGTGTAACTGTGTGTAGGCGTTGGATTCTCTCCACTTTTGTTTATTCTTGTGTTGTTACTAGAGTTTTAAACTGTAGCCGCACACGTTTTAATTTAGTAGCATGTACCAGCTGAAATTACGCCAGGAAAGGGGGCAGCCGCAGTTGGTTGACACTTCTTGTCACATGACCTAGAGAAATACAATAAAGTAGCTTAACTTGCCATGAAATTTATGTACCAGCTTAAATTATTTCATTAAATTTTAATGTTTTGTTTCTATTTTTGTTTCTGTAAATAGCTAAACTAGCACATTCTCTCATTTTCTGACCCCCACTTTTAGCAGGCATGTGTTTTTTTAACACAATCGCCACCTTGGTTGACATGATCATAGGTCATGGCAACCAAAATAGCGACAATGAAAAGTCATGGTGCGGATTGTCAAAATTTACCAACAATATGTAGCCTATAATTTATATTTTTATATTACTATAAAATAGATTGTAGCTATAATAAGCTAACTGTCATCTAAATGTAAAAATCGGCCAAGGTGTTGTAAGACATGGAGAGACTTCTAGGTCAGTTGAAAAAATATATTTTTTATTATAGAACAACACTGTAAATGTAAAAATACCATATTCTAAGGTTGGAGCAGATTAATTGAAAGTGATTTTATTGCAATGGGGAAAAATTATTTCGGCTAGCAAACGTTTTGGATTAAGAACAGAGTCACTGAACAGATTAAGTTTGTTAACCTAGTTTCCACTGTATTGGCTTAACCAAATATTGTTTTCGCTACATGAAACAAGACAGCTGAAGTAAAAACAGTAGGAAACATGTGAGATAATTTTTAACTCTGTTTATGTTGAATTTGTTTACTTGCCTTGTCTTAAAGATAACATGAAAGAGTTAGTTGTAGTTAAGATGACAATTCTCATTTGTTTGTGCCTAAGCATAGGGGAGGTCTAGCAACTTGAGTTATAAACATAGACTATAATAAACACATTTTTCTATATTTTATCAAGAATCATGCTAGTCCAGTTTTAACAGTCAATAAACAAAATGATTATAGTGGGGGAGGAGGGGGGACTGCAGTATGAAATATGTGAAACAAGGTCTGGGGAAAACCCTGAATTATTGGAAAATTAGTGTGTTATTAGGTGGTCAGTCATGTCATTGTGTAAAAAAAGAAAACAAGCAAAGAAATTGAATAGGAAATGTATAATGGCTAGCTTAGAATCTAGGACAGATCCAATGTTGTAAAAAATGTAATATTTAAGTCAATGAAGATGTAGTGATCACATTCATTTTATCATCATCGTTTTTATATCTCTTCATTAAATTTTTTTTTTATCATTCGTGTACAAATCTCAGAAGTATTTTTTTTCTATTTATACCAGTATATTTGATGTCAGTCATGTCATTGTGTAAAGAAAGAAAACAGGCAAAGAAATTGAATAGGAAATGTATAATGGCTTGCTTAGAGTCTAGGGCAAACCCAATGTTGTAAAAAATGTAATTAAAATCACAGAAAATAAGACATTTTTTAATTAAAACTTTGTAATATTTCCGTAGGCCGATAAGCTGATTAATCAGTTAGAAAATACTGATTAATTTGAAAAATTGCCAATTACAAATTATCTGCCGGTTAATCTGTGCAACCCTAGTTCTGGATGAAGCCACTATCAAACAATTGAATTGTTGATAAATAGTTTACTGAATTTTGGTAAATAGTTTACTGCATCAAAAATTCAGGGATGTTTTTTACATTTTACTTTAAATAAATTATAAAACTAATCCAATTTAAGTTTTTCGTAATTGAATTATTTGATTTCTAAAATATCATTAAACAATGTCCCAAAACACCACTGAAGTGACCCAAGGAGGGATTAATTGAAGACCTTAGTGCTAAAAGTACTTAAGTCACAAAATAACCATTTTGAGATAATCAAGTTCAAATATTCAAAACGACCTTTAAATCAGGCAAGACATTCCATTATATTTCTGATTACTGCTACATATTTGTAGTGTTGTCATGAATACACTTGCACATTTTTAAGCTTTAAACCCTCATTTTTTTAAAGATATAGATAATTTAGTTTTTTGACATAAGTACTTTTTGTCCTATTCCGTGACTTAGGTACTTCTTGCACTGAAACCAAACACTGGATTAAGCACTTTTTCAACAAAAAAAATTATTTCTATTTTGAAAACTTATAATTTAAAATTTATTGCGAATGTCACAAAATTTGATTATTTAATAATTTCTTCCAGATTGGACAGGGGAGGATGAAGCACCTGAAGACATTAATGTCTGGGAGGATAACTGGGATGATGACAACATAGATGATGACTTTTCAAAACAACTCAGGCTAGTATCCTAAAGAAAAGTTCATGAATTATCTCCCTCTATCTGTTCACACATTCTGATTTGTTTACATTACAATCTTTCCTAATGGATAAATCACAACTTTTAAATGAAAATAGCTTGTTTTATAGTCCTATTTTCTTCAAATGTTCAGTTTTTTTTACACCTGTCAATAATAATATTTTTTAAAAATAGAGGCAGATGATGAATGTGGTAGCACTTTTATACGTAACTGTATTTATAGATAAGTCATCTGTTAATAATGCTAGCTGTATTAAAAAATTCCTGTATTTGTATTAACAACGTGACATTAATATCGTCTGACTTGGCAAAGTTACTTTGGTTACTGTCTTATACACCTCACTTTAAGTCACGGGGGGGGGGGGTGTCATGTGCATGTGGAGTGATAGAATTTTTTTTCACACTCTTTGCTATGTGGATATAAAGTGTTTAAGTTAAAGGAATAAGTATTAAACTTGACAAGTTGGAATTTTCTTAGCATTAGAGGTCTTAAAATATCCCAAGATAAATTAAAAAATTCTTGTATTTGTATTAACAACGTGAAATTAATATCGTCTGACTTGGCAAAGTTACTTTGGTTACTGTCTTATACACCTCGCTTTAAGTCCGGGGGGGGGGGGGTGTCATGTGCATGTGGAGTGATAGAATTTTTTTTCACACTCTTTGCTATGTGGATATAAAGTGTTTAAGTTAAAGGAATAAGTATTAAACTTGACAAGTTGGAATATTCTTAGCATTAGAGGTCTTAAAATATCCCAAGATAAATTCCACATATTTGACAAACACATTCCATTTTATTGTGTTAATTCTACTTATAGTAATATTTCTTATAATGTTTACTCAACAGGGCAGAGTTGGAAAAACAAGGAAAGAACATTGATGGAACTGAGCCAATGAAGACATAGTGATCACATTCATTTTTATCATCATCATTGTTTTTATATCTCTTCATTAAATTTTTTTTTTATCATTTGTGTACAAATCTCAGAATTATTTTTTTTTCTATTTACATCAGTATATTTGATGTCAGTGAGAGAGGCAATGCTATAAGTTATATCATATTTTTTAAAAACTATGTCAATCTTACCTGGTATTAGTTAATACTATTAGACCATTTTTTTCTAGTGTTTGTGTTACTGTTGCAAAATGTGATTTTAAGACTAATCTTTCCCCTTTAATTGAAAAAAGACATGTGCTTAAGATTTTGAACTGTGATTATAAGCACTGGATCAACTGCACTAAAATTTATTTTCATCTTATTTTAATGAAGCAGCCATCTTAATTTGTCAAAGGATGCTCTTAAAAATTATTGTTTTTGAGCTAAGTAAATTCCAATAAATTTCACTGATGTATTTTTTCTTTTTTTTTTTTTTTTTTTCTTTTTTTTTTTTTTTTTTTTTTTTTTTTTGACATTCTTGATTTATGTGTGAGTGTCAGTAAAAACAAAGTTGAAAGGATTACTATTACTAAATAACTACACATGAAAGGCCCTCTAAAGAAATTGTTGTTAAAAGCTTACCTGGCATGCCTGTCTATTAGAAGAGACAGGAAAAGTATGCTGTCTGGGGTTCAAACTCGGTTGTTTCAGCCAGAGCTGTGGCGTTGGCCTTGCAATCATTGCCGCTGCAGGGGGGCCTCTGATTGTTCAGGGGCTCAAAGATGGGATGTGGACAAATGTAAACTATCAACTCCAAATGCAGGTGGCCGAAAATGAAAATGTTAGCCAACTGCTCTGGTTCCAAAACCTCCCGCCCGGCTTTTTCTTCAGTTAGATCATCAATCAGCAATTGATGAGCTATCACTTATAAGTAATGGGCGTGGGAGGGTGGGGCAGGACATTTTTCTAATTATAAGGAAGGGGGGTGGGCGCCTTCTGCCAAGTCAAACCAAAACAAATAGATTGAAAGACACAAGGTATACTTTCATTTTACTTTTACTATCAATTACCGATACTACAAGATAATGGAACTCTGAGAAAAAGGTTAATTCTGGATCTAGCCTAATTATTCTGACATATTTAAATAGAAATATTGGAGGGAAAAAAAAAGGGGGGGGGGTGGCGTGAGATTAAGCAGTAGTCAATCTTTAAGTGGAGTGACATGAAATAAGCTCATTGCACATCAATGGGGAAACTGGAAGAAAAGGGGGCCTCCATTAATG